AACCACTGAACCATGAAAATGAGGTCAAGGTCAGATGACACCTGCCAGTTGGACATGTTCACCTTACAATAATTCCATACACCAAATATAAAAGAACTATATCTGATATATGGACTTGACCACTAAAACTTAACCTTGTTCACTGATCCATGAAATGAGGCGAGGTCAGATGAAAACTGTCTGATGGGCATGAGGACCTTGCAAGGTACGCACATATTAAATATAGTTATCCTATTACTCACAAGAGAGAAATTAACATTACAAATTTTTTTTTCAAGTAGTCACTGAACCATGAAAATGAGGTCAAGGACAATGAACATATGACAGACGGAAACTTCATAACATAAGGCATCTATATACAAAGTATGAAGCATCCAGGTCTTCCACCTTGGAAAATATAAAGTTTTTTAGAAGTTAGCTAACGCAGCCACCGCCGGATCACTATCCCTATGTCGAGCTTTCTGCGACAAAAGTTGCAGGCTCGACAAAAACTAAGTACATTTATCAGTAAAATATGGAAAAATGAAAATAGAGATTTTCAAATTTTACACTGGATACTGTTTTTTCATAAACAAGCTTTTGTCCAAATTTCAATGTAAAATAAATGGGAAATGTGTTCATGGGACACAGATGATGCCCCCACTTGCATATCATATAAAGTTATAAAGGGACATAACTGAAGAACGGTAAAAGTGACACTACCCAAATTTGTACTTGATCTGAGTTTTGTGGTAATAAGTATTGTGTATAAGTTTCATAACATTTGGTTGAGTCAAACATAAGTCAGAGAACGGAAACAAAAAATTCAGCAATTTTTCCGTTTGTAAAGGGGCATAACTCTAGAACCGTAAAAGTGACACCACCAAAATTCAAACTTGATCTGTGTTTTGTGGTAATAAGTATGGAGTATAAGTTTCATAACATTTGGTTGAGGCAAACTAAAGTTAGAGAACGGAAACCAACTTTGGGACGTACGGATGTACTAAAGGACATTGGTAAAACTTAATGCCCCCTTCGCTACGGCGGGGGCATAAAAAACTAAGTCCATACATCAGTAAAATATGGAAAAATAAAATAAATAAGTTCAAAATTTTGCACTGCCACTGGATACTGTTTTTTGGTCATAAACAAGCTTTTGTCCAAATTTTATAAAATTCCATGAAGGTTTGACAAAGTTATTGATATCTAAAAAACTTCAAGCACAGACTAAATCTAAATGTTGATGCCACCGATAGGGAATCTAGGATTGTTGTGTTTTGCTTTCACATTATAAATGTTGCAGGCTCGACAATAAGACCAACACGGTGTCCAGCATAGAAGAATAGCAACAGGAAGTGAAATATAATTCATGTATGCAACTTAATTTTTAATAATATTCATTATACCTACCAGTTCGAATTAACTAGTTCTCATTGCAAACATTTATGTCTCAACTTCATTATGTAGCAAGTCAATAGATATTCATGTACATGATCCCGAGTCCAGAAAGTAAAACTGAGAGATGTTTTCAACTAGATTGCTTATAAGGATAAATAATCACCAATCCATATAAATATACATATATAATTAGAAAGGTTAAAAAAAATGTTATACCATTATTTCAAGCAAATTAGTATAGTATGAATGGTTATTTTAGATTATGCAACACCAAGCTTACATTATAACTAAAAGTTTATGTGAATTGTACCTTTGTATACTACAACTGTTATGCGAAAATGACATCAAAGATGATCTGAAGTTAGGAATGGGAAATACTCTTCTTATATGTTTTATGTTACTGGTGAAACCTTTAAACAGCATTGGAATACTTTAAAGATGTTTCAATTACAGCAATGAAAAATCACCTGTAATAATGTAAAATATTTTCCATTTTTTTGTCAAGCTTTTGTTCAAAATATAATGATGCATGTGAAAAAAAAAGCTAAGAGTTTTACCTCTATAATACACCAAATCATTTAACAAATTTTATGACTAAGTTTAATAAACTAGTATGGGAATGCATGAGGCATTCTGAGAGTATTGCATGGCAATACATAGTCCCCTACCGGGTAAAAATTCATTATACTGGAATAAAATGCTAACTTGTTCTATAACTTGTCATGGTGTAAACAAAAAGAAAATATCAAGTCAATATCTTCAAGCATGACTAAAAACAGTGTGGAAAACTGAATATTTGAGTGAATTTTTTCAAGTCCAAGGACAATAACTCTGCACAAAATTATCAGACCAAAACAAAAATTTGAACTTGATCTGTAACTTGTCATGATAAAATTATATACCAATTGTCAATCAATATCTTCAAGCATGATGAAAAAAGAGTGGAAAACCTATAACACTCTAACATTAGATATGATTAATAGTTCTCTAAAATTAGATATGATGTAACACAATGTATCTCTATTTTCAAATTACAATCAAATATAATTAATAGTTTCAAATATTTTTTCTTTCATTTGTCACTAACTAATATAGATTTGTAACTTATCTATAAAATGTCAACAACTTTTATCTACACAATGTAATGTAATGAAATATATACCTTAATAAAAATAGATTATTATATAATTAAAGGATTTCACTTAATAAAAAAATTATATATATATATATATATATGTAGCATTCAGAAAATTAGTTTATACAAAATAACATATAAACCTGCCAAAAAATTCTACAAAAAATTTACCAAAGAATGTCTTTTAAAAAATGAGTTATCTCCCTTTGTACAGATTATATGGTTTAACATAGCACTCTAACATTAGTTATGGAGTTTTTTTTATGGACCATAACTCTGGACTTAATCATCAGACCGGAACAAAATTCGAACTTGATCTATAACTTGTCATGATAAAACTATATACCAAATATCAAATCGATATCTTCAAGAACGAAGAAAAAAAGTGTAGAAAACTGAGTTGCCGGACTGACTGATGGACAGACAGACAGAGTGCAAACCTAAAGTCCCCTTCAACTTCATCAGTAAGGGACTAAAAACATAAAAACTCAATCACTCTGTCATCACACTTATTTTTCATTTGCTACAGGATTCTATGTTGAATGTTTATCAAGGTCACGATTGGTAAACTTTGGCAACAAAAGCCAAAATTTAATTAGTAGCCAAAGTTTTCAATAAATTACAATCAGTCTATTAAAAAATCTAGGAATGAAATATTTGTTGTCGATTTAAAAACATTACGGATTCATAATAAATACCATACACAGAAGACTGAATTTACTATATATGCACGCATTGGCATAATAATTTTTAAACATTATAACTTGTAATTTAAATAACCAGAAACTCGTTTCATAAGAATAAGAATTTTATTAGTTTAAAATCCAAACAATAGGATTGTTACTAAAGAAAAACATATAAATGACAAAAAAATAGACAGAAAACAATACAAACATGTAGCATTGAAAAAAATGTTAATATTTATTACAATACTTTTTTTGACAACATGCCTCCTCTATAAAGTAATCATTTCAAATATCGTGATTATATATATTATAATATTAGTCATGAATCATACACAGTTCATGTATTGACATTATAGTTGTTTCTCTCATTATACATTTCACTTATACTGTTAACAATGATAATTAATATATCACATTCTTCGCAAGAAAATATAAAATCAACCTCGTTTTCATTACTCATAGAACATGTTGAATTAAAACAGGGAACAATATTAGAAATTTCATTAAACATTTTGATCCTTAAGGTTTATTAAGTTCTGCCGTGTTATGATAAAATGGAATTCATCTTCCGTCCTCTTTGTGACATAAGGGACATATTCTATTTTCTAAGGCTGTTTTATTGTACAACCATGTTCAATAGCTAGCATACTATTACTTATTCTTATTTTTGCATATTTTTTGTAACATTTTTATCTAAATTTAATAAAAGGTACTTTTAAGTTCATACTTTACTTTAAATTTTCTGTAGGTTCTTAGTTTATTTCCATTTATTGAATTATCATCATTAAAGAGACAATTTTTCCAAAATATATTGTAATTTCATTGAGCTTCTTCGTTGGGGCTGAAAGTAATTGTTTTTTTAGAAAAAGTACATTGATTTTTCAAAACATGAGTGAAATTTAATTTAGATAGTAGCATTTTAATTTTTGAAGCAAATCCATCATTTAACTGCTTGTTAACTTTATAAACATTATAATAAAGACTCTTTTTCATTTGAGTTTAAAATATGCAACCAAAATCCTACAGAAGACTTTAGGGCATGTACGTATACCAATTGGGTACATTCCCAACATTCATATGAAATAAGGCGTCAGACCACCATTTACCCACTTCAATTTAGAACGTTTGTGCTTTTGATGTCGTTGTTTACTTAAACTTACAAACAATTTTGCAGAAATGAAACTTTTGGTGAAAGAGAAATATATATATATATAGACTACTTTTAGCCAAAATTCACTTGTCTATGAGTTTGCATTAAAAATTAAGGATTAATGCGCTGCAGTATTATACTTATTTAAGATTTCCAGGTAACCAGGGTTTTTTTTTAGTAGTGACTTGAATTCTGAACATAGTATTTCATCATGTCTGAGAGAGACTGCGTTATAGTAGTCTCAGATCATGTTCATTACCAATGATTACAAGACTTTAAACATTGGTTGAACATTGGCATGTAGAAAGGGCATACATGTACAAGAAAGCTGTGAAAGTTGCAAAATTTGGTTGAATAGATAGGGAATTTGAATTGGTGGTCTGACACTTTTAAGAAAAGTGTGTTGAGCAGCACTCAAATGATCCTGGTCCAATCCGTGGTTTCTACTTTCATTATCACGAACAAATATTAGGTATTAAAACAAGGTTTAATAATTGTACAAAAACAATCATATTTGTGCGACTCAACAGTTATCATTGTTTGCATAACCATATAATATACAATACCCGTTCTCTTACATTATGTCACACCTTCAGACCGTCACACGGTCTTGCCGGTTCGTGTCTACTTTCGTTATCAGTAGATGCACTTGGAACTTCTCGGTAGTTTTCGGTCTACAGAGGGGTGTGTCAGGTGATTTTGAAAGATGAGGCTTGTGCAATTTGAAGATGCTGGCAATAGGCGGATTGGCGTTGAACTTAGAGAAAACGGAGATATTGTTGATTTATGCAAAGCAAACCCAAACATTCCCAATGACATGAGATCCTTCATTGAAGGCGGCAATGCTATGCTGTCAGCTGCGAAAAGGTATCAACTGGTTCAAATGGATAGACTAGACAGGACTTTACTCTTTAAAAAATGGGCTTTGAAACCTTTTTAGAAACACATATTCAGAGATTTTGTACAGTCATTGTGATTCCTCAATCCTCCTTTCTGTGTCAGTGTGATAGAGGAGCCTGATTCTTATTAGAAAATCACATTGTCTCCTCCGGGACCTCTGTGTTTGTGTTACAACTACCGGTACAAGGCAGCACTCTAACCGACTGAGCTAAAGAAGTACCCCCTGGCTCAACCACTAAAGGCTGGCTAAGTTTCTAATTTAAGGGAAGCAATCTCGTCACACTTTCCCCACCTCGAGTCATTATACCATTATGACTCTTACAACACATACCCTGTCTAGATATCCTCTCTTAAAGCATGGTGGTTTTTTTTAGTTGGGCACCAATTGTAACCGAAGAGCATGATTTTTATTAGAAAATCACATTGTCTCCTTCGGGACTCCAACCTGGGACCTCTGTGTTACAAGGCAGAGCTCTAACCAACTGACCCAAAGAAGTACTTCCTTAGCTCAACCTCTTACAGCTGGCTAAATATCTAATATTTAAGGGAAGCAATCCCGGCAATTCAGTGAAAAGCTCTACAGAGCTTATGTTGTATTGTTATATGTACATCCTTTTGCTTTATGCTTATGCTCAGTGTAAATTAAAAGCTCTATAGATCTTGATTTTGTTGGGAAAAAAACATAAATAAAAATTGTAGTCCAAACTATTATGATGTCTTGTAAAGTTATTATTATTTTTTTGATTGGACGCCTTCCTATGTTGTAGTCGAACTTTTCATAAGTCATAGGAAGGCACCACAGCGAAAGAATAGATATAGCCTGGTAAGATGTCATATTAAACTATTTGGACTTAGGCAATTGATACCAAATGGTTAATATAAAACTCATAAGTCAAAGAAAAACTGACTCACCATTTATGCTATGCTGTTATATTTTTATGCTCAATCAAAGGCCTGATGGCACAACCTGCATCAAATGTGCTATTAAATCATAATTTCCTTATCTGTATGGAAATAAAGAGATTTGTTATGCCATTTTTTTAGTCAACTCTTGTAAGCTGCTTCAATAGCTTTTTTGACATACTGTAGACTAAGATGTTACCCTCTAGAGGAAGTTTTTTTTTCTTCCTCTGCTGCTGTTGTTGCACGGATGCCAGTCACATCATTACTACTTATGTTTGCATGTTGTGGTTTCAGTGATATGGTAACTGGTAAACTTTTATGCTTCAATTTTTGTTTTTTTTCTCTTATAACTACAACCAACAAAATATATTATCCGTAACAAACTTAATTACTTAAATCATTTAATGCTCCAAAAAGAAATGAATTAATTTCATCCAAGATGGACACAGTTTTCAAATTACAAAACAGTTGAATGTTGGGAATAATATACCTGTTGTGGATTCACTGATTAATTACAATTATTTCAGTGTAGTGGATGGAGGAGGCAGTATTTTGAAACGAGAAACAGTGAAAGTTGTTGCACCAATCTATAATCCAGACAAAGTCTTATGTATTGGTATGAATTACACAGACCATTGTATAGAACAGAATGCTCCTGTACCTGAAGTACCAGTTATTTTTAATAAATTTCCAAGCTGTATAATTGGACCAACAGATGACCTGATATACCCAGAAGAAACAAAGGTATCAGTTTTAATTTGTCAAAACCTCAAAATAATAGGGTTAACTGTCTAGAATAAAACTGCAAGGCCTGTAAATTGAGTAGTTTTTCATACTGTATTAGAAAATATGTAAAATGATAAACATTGATACAATATGACAGGGCACATTTATAGAAATTATATCAATATTTACATGTACTTAATATTCTGTGTTAGAAGATTTCTGAAGCTTGAATTTTAGTATTTTTATCAATAATGGGATCAACCATAGTAATGATTCTTGGTATATTATTAATTCACAAAATTACCAATTTGACATTAGACTTAGTAATGATTAAAACTATTTTAGTGACAAAAATCAAGGTATTTATTGGTAAAAGGCATACAGTGTTTTTTCTTTAAATTATATATATATAACAAAACACACATAAATAACCACAATTAAAACAGAGATTGAAAATAAGGAAATATCATATTAAGCAAACATAAATACAGAGAGAAAAATTTTGAATTTAAGAAAAAAATTCACTGTGACATTTTTTAACAGTAAAAGGAAAAATATAATACATTTGAACCATGCTTGTACAGTAAGATTATCTCCCCTTGTTGCATTGTTTGCATAAATGTCTGTCTTTCTTGCTTTGAAATAGAAATCTTTCTGTTTTATTCAGGAATTGGATTGGGAAGTAGAATTAACTGTAGTTGTTGGGAAAGATGCCAAGAAAGTATCTGTAAGTTTATGATATAACAGTATCTTTATAATCCTACATTGTGAAAATAGGAGATGCGGTATGGTGGCCAAACAAACAATTATCCACAAAAAGACAAGGATGTTAACACCTACAGTTCACAACTTGTCTTCACATGTGTGTTATGTCCTCTTGTGCTTTTTACTCATCTATGTAAAAATGAGGTGCTTTTATTTTTAGATGCTCATGTTTCTGGAAAACCCTTTTTTGTAAGGGCTCTTAATGTCTTGTGTTAATACATGGTAAAGAATTTGTCAGTAAGAATTAAATATTTCATTGGATAGCAGTATTTTTTATTAAATTTCTTTAATGATACAGGAAAACCACAAATATTTCGGTAAGGGATAGGGTAAAGTAATGGATAAAAATGAATAAATGTGTGATAACATGACTAATTGGAAAAGGAAATACATGCATTTAGATTTATACATGCATTTAGATTTTGACATGCATGTATATTTTACTTATACATTTTGTAGGAATCAGAGGCAATGGACTACATATTTGGTTATACAGTAGCGCATGATGTCAGTGCTAGAGACTGGCAATTGAAACCTGGTGTAAATGGTGGACAATGGGTAATAGGAAAAGCTATGGATGGGTTCTGTCCCCTAGGTCCAGCTATTGTAACTAAGGAAGCATTAAGTGGTAAATATTTCTTATTGTAATTTGTAAAAAAAAGTGGATTTTGTCTTCAGTAGCATGCAGCCTGTATTAGTACAATTCATTCACAGAAATCATAAAAAGAAGAAGAAGAATGTTGGTGAGATAAATGATTGTTGCATTCCATTTGACTTCAGACCTTAAGTTGAGGTAGGACCTTAAACTATTTCTCTCTCCCTGTGGTTGCATTGCTTAATAGTGTAGGCTGCTGGAGAAGTGACTTATTTAACATTAAACTATTGCTGCTCTTTTCACAAAAAATCATGAAAAAGCTTGTCAGACATGAACATTTAGTTATATCTTACAATCAGCTTTAATTCTATTTTTTTTTTGTAAAAGGTAGCTGGTGTAATTAGGTAAACAAAAAAAGTTAAAATTAGGAAATTTTAATTACCATACTACTGTCATATTATTAGATGCATGTTTAATATAACAGGCATCAAAAATATATTTTATTTCAGATCCTCATAACTTAGGATTGAGATGTAAAGTTAATGGAGTAACAAAACAGGACAGTAGTACAAATCAGCTTATACACAAATCTGCTGCATGTATAGCTTTTGTATCCAGGTGAGTGAAGGTGTTTCCACATTGTAATGTTTGAATGAAGAGTTTGAAAAGGTTAAGAAAAATGTAAAGTGATTGATGTGTAAGCTAAATGCACATATACATGAAGATAGCTTAATACTTGCACATGTAGATTACACAAATGTTTTTAAAACTTATGGTTGCTGAAGTGTTATGCTTTGTGTATACATTATTATAAAAAAAAGGAGATGGGTATGTTTGCCAATGAGACAACTATCCACCAGAGTTCAAATTACAAAGATTATCATTTATGTATGTAAGTAAATAGAAAGTGAAACTAGGCTCATTTTTCATTGGCCTTTGTCTTCCATCCATATCAAGCAGTTGCAAGAAAAGGTGATTCAAAAGAGAAAATCATTTCTTCTCCAAGGTGTGTCCCATGTTTCTTGTCTTTTGGTTGATAGTTGTCTCATGACACCACAGTTCCTTATTTTTAAATTATTTTGCCATTTTATAAATGAAGGCTACCCCATCTTTTTAACATGTACTTTTTTCAGATTTATGACTTTGAAAGCTGGTGATCTGATTTTAACCGGTACACCACCAGGTGTAGGCGTATTTAGAAAACCACAAGAATTTCTTAAGGTTAGTAGGCTTATATCTTGTATGGTTAAGGTGGTGTTTTGGAATTTCTCCATAGAGCAAACCATTTCAAGTGGTACCATTGCTACTTTAAATGTAAACTCATTTACTTGTAAAGTTTCTGATATATTCTTTTTGATACATGTATTTATAGTTTAATGATTTAATTTTGGATGTAACGCTTCTTCTGATTGGCTGACGTTGTTTTGTTTATCAGCTCATAGACATAATTTTGTCATGTGACCGTGACGTCATCAACGTTTTTTCATGGTTTACTCCGGTTTAAAATGGAATTTAGAATTAAATTATAAGAAATGACTGTAATATTTTTTCTGTCTATTCGAAATAACATAAAAAATGTGGTGCACACTTTAAAATAACCCGCTACGTGGGTTATTCAGTGTGCACCACATTTTTTATGTTATTTCGAATAGACAGAAAAAATATTACAGTCATTCCTTAAGTATTTAAGTATATCACACGAAACAAAATATCTTACACTTGAGAGAGTGTGGTAAGTAAGAAAGTAATTATTTATTATAGTGACATGTGTGTCATTACATACATTTATACAAGTATATACATAGCAATTTGATAGTTAAACCCCTGCCCATTGGACCTATATGTCACTTAAGCTTTATTGTATCATATTCAAAAACTGTATAAGTTTACAAAATAGAAAAATAGAATGAGACATAAAGTTGTTTTTTTCTGTGAATGAATGCTGAATTTACAAATTTTGCAGTTGCAATTTGATAGCGTTTCAGTAAATGAATGTCTTTCACTATCTTCACTAAGATTGTCTAATGCACCCATAATGCGGTAGTGTAACAACGAACTCTATCAATCACAAACATATTAACATGTAAGAAAAAATATCCTAGGGAAAAATTTCCAAACCAGTTCATGATCGCTATTTTCTTAATTTGCCATTGATTTCTATGTGATAGTTTTCAAGCTACCAGCTGATATAGTTTTTTTCTCAGTCAATGACATTGCCTAGGAAAATAGTGATAAACAGATTATCAATGGTCTTTCAAACTCAAGGAAGTTTCTTGTAATAATTTAAAAAAAAAAATAATTGAATTTAAAGTAAATAGTTTTTTGTCTCACCTGCAAAGCGAGACATAAGGATTGCTTTTCTGGCAAAGATTGCTCCAGCTCCAGCTCCGGCGTCAACAATTGTTAACTTTTCTGCTTAAGTTAGTTTGATAGGAACTGCTTGTGATAGATCATTGATATTTACTATGAAGTTGCATTACTATCATAACATATCAGTTTGACGACTATTTCGAGGCCCTGCCCCTGGTCATGGTCCAGTGACAATAAGCAATTTTCAATGTTAAGTTTTCTGCTTAAGTTAGTTGAAAGGACCTACTTGTGATAAATCATTGATATTTACTATGAAGTTGCATTACTATCAGTACATATCAGTTTGATGACTATTTCGAGGCCCTGCCCCCTAGGTCATGGTCCAGCAACTTTGAATTGACTAGCAACTTTCAATGTTGATAGGATCTACTTGTGATAGATCAATGATATTTTATATGAAGTTGCATTATTATCAGTACATATCAGTTTGACGACTATTTTGAGGCCACAGCCCTTAGTACATGGTCCAGTGACTTTGAATTAATAAGCAATTTTCAATGTTAAGTTTTCTGCTTAAGTTAGTTTGATAAGAACTACTTGTGATAGATCAATGATAGTTTGTATGAAGTTGCATTACTCTCAGTACATGTCTGTTTGATGACTATTTTGAGGCCCTGCCCCCTAGGTCATGGTCCAGTAACTTTGTATTAATTAGCAATATTCAATGTTAAGTTTTCTGCTTAAGTCATTTTGATAAGAACTACTTGTGGCAGATCAATAATATTCTGTATAAAGTTGCATACTATCAGTACATCTCAGCTTGTCCACTGTTTCTAGGCCCTGTCCGCAAGATCATGGTCCAGCGACTTTGAATTAATAAGCAATGTTGCTGTCAATCAGATTGTCCTTTTCTGAATTTTATGTGGTCAGGCGAGACATATATCTGTGTCTACAGTTTATTTTAAACTGGAGTTGTCTCATTACAATGTTTTGTCATATTTTTCAGAAAGGTGATGTGGTAGAATGTGAAATTGATGAAATTGGAAAAGTTGTAAACAAGATAGTGTGAAATGATAAAGTTCAACAATTGTGAAATGAAAACTTTTAACAATTGAGAAATGATAGAAACAACTACTCAGGAAGTAATGGCTAGAATGCTGTCAAACATGTCATATGTGGTACTTTGTATAGAAAATTAGGATGTGGGATATCAAATAAAGCTTAAATTATAAATAGAAACTTATAACTAATTCTTAAAGATATATTTGTGATAATTGTCAGGCAGCATTGATGAATAAAGAATTATCTGTCAAAGATATAAATGGATTGAAGTGATTTTATTCTACTGACTTTAATAAGTTCATGTCTGCTTTTTATTTTGTTTTGCATCAAATCAAATTTTCAAAACCTACCTGCAAGCCAGGAAGAAGGAAAAAAACCACAAACACACACACACAAGATAAACCCATTAACTAAACATGACGTACAGTTTAACACCATTTTTGTTAAATAGTTTTATCTTGCCAACAACACACCAGAAGTGAATGTTTTTATTTTGAAACAAAATTTTTTAAAATTATTTAGGACATACATTTCACTAAGTTATAATGTTCCCAAAAATCCTTATTTCTTGATTTTCAGAATATTTTATGAAATTTTGTTTAGTCTGTTTTCCTATCTCAGATCTGCAAAACCTTCCAATAAGAAATTGCATAAATCAACTCTTTCAGTTTCCTAGGCAACTACTTTGGTGACATTGTCTTGATATAGATTTGATTTACTTTTGTCTCATTGCAAGATTTTTACATTGCACTCCTCTAATTACCTTTATGCCACTTTGTAACAGTTGAAAGGTGCCTTTCCAAAGTCATATTAAAATAAGGAGATGAATTATTGTCAATGAGACATTTCTTACTATCCATCAAATATTAAAGGACAACGACAGGAAAAATTACAAATTATCCTATGGCTTCCATCAATGAGCAGAATCCATATAATAAAATAAGCTATAAAGGCCCCTGGGGACAAATTATAAAATAATTCAAAAGAAAACCAAGAACCTGATTTATAATTGATCAATAACTGAAAAATGCGCTCCGCCTGGAGCAGCTGGATACAACTGCAGAGGTAGAACTCTGAACAGTTGGGGCAAGTATGGACACAATATTCAAGCTTCATACAGCTCTGAATTTGGATAGTGATTAAATATTTGACACATTATAGATTTCTGACACAGAATAAATGTGTCAGATAACTTAAAAATTTGAAATGGGACATTTAATCTACTTAATGGTCCAATATCCAAAATCTAATTCCATGGTTAGATTAGGCATATTAAAAAAAAAAAAAACATGAATTCAAACAAAGTTTAATTTTGGACCCTTTGGACCTTAATATAGACTAATTTGAAAACAGGACCCAAAATTAAAAATCTGAATGCACAATTAGATTCAGCATATCATAGAACCACAAGAATTCAGTTTTTGATAAAATCGAACAAAGTCTAATTTTGGACCTCAATGTAGACCTATTTAAAAATGTCCAAATATCCAATAGTTTAAACACATTTTATTGTACAAAACAAATGGATTAGACACAAGTTTTTCAACTTAGTGCCGTCTTCTCCATAATATACATGAATATACATTATATTTATATTGCAAATATCCAATATAGTAATACATGGTAAAAACCTCAAACAATTCAAGACTTTAAATAATTCAAGACTTTGAATGTGTAAATTATTATATTTAGTTTGTAAACAGATTTACTAAGTATTGCGTAACAGCAAAGTATTGCACAACAGCAATAAATCTTCAATTGAAAATAAATACAAATCTTTTAACCAATTTCAATGAGGATAACTTTGCAGTTGCGCAATACTTAGTAAATCTGTTTACAAACTAAATATAATAATTTACACACCCTGTTTGGTTTGTATCTCCTGCCATATCAGTATTTGCTGTTTCTTTATATAGATCAGAAATAATTTATGTTAGAACCAGCTTAGCCAGTATTAGAAAAGTCTTGTTTTGGCCCCTATTTGGTCTCTAGTTTCTTAACGATTAAAGCCACAACCCACAAAATTGACCCCAACCTTCTGTGTGTGGTATGGACTCTTGTGGTACAATTTCATAGAGATCCATTGACTAATGCTTAAGTATTTCTCCCCCCCCCCCCCCTTTCCCCCCACTTTTTGCCCATTATTCCAGAACGGTTTGAGCCATAACCCCCAAAGTCAAACCCAACTTTCCCTTTGTGGTATGGAACCTTGTGTTTCAATTTCATAGCGATCCATAAACTAATACTTAAGGAATTGTCCATTAACGGGAAAACCTCTTTTTGCCCCGAATTCCTGAACGGTTTGGGCCATAACCCCCAAAGTCATTCCCAAACTTCTCTTTGTGGTATGGAACCTTGTGGTACAATTTCATAGAGATCCATACACTAATTCACAAGTTATTGTCTGGAACTAAAAAAATGCCTTTTTTTGGCTGCTTTTTGACCCCTAATTCCTAAACAGTTGGGACCATATCCCCCAAAATCAATCATAACCTTCCTTTTGTGCTTTCGAGATCCATTCATTTATACTAAAGTTATTGTCCGGAAACCAAATGTCTTCGGACGACAACGACATGATAGCAATATATGAACACAAATTTTTTGTTGTCGTATAATAAAATGCTCTGCTCGGCGCAGCTTGATAGGACCGCAGAGATCAATCCCTGAACAGTTGGGGCAAGTATGGACACTACATTCAAGCTTGATACAGCTCTGAATTTGGATTGTGATTAAATATTTGACACAGCATAGGTCTGACACGGAATGAATGTGGTCAAAGAACTGAAAAATTTGAAATTGGACTTTTACCTATTATGTTCCAATAGCCAAAATCTAAATACACGGTTAGGTACAACAAGAATTTAATTTATTCATTTATTAATGAACAATATTATCCAAGTTTTTAAAAGGGTTCGCTTCATAAAAAAAAAAATATATATATATAGCATTCTGAAAATTAATTTATACAGAATAACAAACAATCCTACCACAAAGTTCTTAAAAAAAAAAATGAAAAAAAACCATTTCCAAAATATCATTCATCATTAATACAATGGCATTAAAAAATTTATAAAACTTACCTCTAATTAGTTTTCAAAATATCTAATAATGAATAGTAAATTTCAAACTATATTTATACATAATTTCTAAAATTAGAATTTGATGCAAAATCTATTTTTAACTATGAATCTACTAAAAATTTCTATAAATTGTGCAGTACAGCTTTGAATTTGGATTATGATTAAATATTTGACATAGCAAAGGTTTCTGTCACAGAATGAATGTAGTCTTAAGAACTTAAAAATTTGAAATTGGACATTTACATATGGTCCAATATCCTAAATCTAAATACATGGTTAGATTCAGCATAACAAAGAACCCCGAGAATTCAAATTTTGTTGAAATCAAACAAAGAATAGTTTTGGACCCCAATTTGGACCAACTTAAAAACTGGGCCAAAATAAAAAATCTAAATAAATGTTTAGATTCAGCATATCAAAAAAACCCTTGAATTCAATTTTTGTTAAAATTAAACTAAGTTGAATTTTTGACCCTTTAGACCTTGATGAGGACCAATTTGAAAACCAGGCCAAAAAACTAAAAATCTAAATTAAACGGTTAGAATCAGCAAATTAAAGAACCCCAAGAATTCATGACCTTTGAATTAAACCCCATTGAAATTGGTCAAGAAATAAGCAAATTATTCAAAGTATTAGAAAAGTTTTGTTTTTGGCCCCTTTTTCCTAAACGATTAGAGCCATAATCCCCAAAATCAATCCTAACCTTCCTTTTATCATATGGAACCTTGTGGTACAATTTCATAGAGATCCATAGACTTATACTCAAGTTATTGTCCTGGAAACATGAAATTCCTGTTTTTTTGGCCACTTTTTGGTCCCCAATTCCTAGATGGTTTGGGCCATAACCCCCAAAATTAATCCCAAACTTCCTTTTGAGGCAAGGAACCTTGTGGTACAATTTCATAGAGACCCATACACTTATACACAAGTTATTGTCCTGAAACAAGAAGAATGCTTGTTTTTGGCCCTTAATTCCTAAACAGATAGGACAATAACCCCAAAAATCAATCCAAACCTTCTTTTTGTGTAATGGAACCTTGTGGTACAATTCTCCTAGAGATCCATACACTTATACTCAATATATTGTCTGGAAACCAAATGTCTTTGGACAATGAAGGCGATGACAAAGCTGACAACGTCATAACATTATATGACAGCAAAAATTTTGGGGTCGTATAAAAACCATTCTGGCAGATAGCAACCAACAACGGCTATTGGAATACAAGCTGCTTGCTTGACACAGGCATGTAGAAATAATGTGCTGTGGTTAATCTGGGACAGTGCTGTAACAGCACAACATTAGAACAAACTTTAAGTTTACTCTTCAGGTAGGTAAATCGATATAAACACAACTAATAAAATTTAACCTAAGTTCAGTGTTTATCTTTGTTTTTTTTTTACCAGTACAGGATTTTTGTTTAAAGTGAGTTCACATGAAAAAAGGGTGGATTCACTTATTTTCATGGGTACCAAATTTCTTAGATTGAGGAAAACTTAGTTTTTTCATGGATATTTGATTTTACCAAAGTCAGCAAACAAGCCTATAGAAAATTTAAAATTCCTTGAACATTTAAATTTGTGGTTGATCTGTCCCCAAGAGATCGACGAAAATTGGTATCCCACAAATAATAATGAATCTACAGTAATTGATTCATTCAAATTGTTCAAAAATTATATCAAAGCCTTGTTGAGTTTACCATATGGAATGGACTAACATTCATTATATGAAGGTGTGTGGTGACCTTCTCGCACAATAACCTTTGGTGGTTAACTATTGTAATGACATTATACCACATATTAATTCTATAATAATAAGAAAAATATAGAGCTGACAAATTGACAGCAAACCAGGTTTTTAGTATTTTGAAGGTATTTTCAAGTTTGTTTGACCTGCTAAGTTCTCTGACTATTTTCCAATCGATCAAGGACCACAACTCCTGAATGATAAAAGTGAAAATTGTCCATATCAAAGTTGACCTCCATTTTGTCATCAGAAGCAACATATTAAAATTTGTAAAGCATTGGATGAAGGATTCAAAAGTATTTGTCTGGAAACAACATATCGGGTGCCAGTTTCCAATCTATGAAGGACCATTGCTCCTGCACAGTAAGAATGGAAATCGTTTATATGGCACTTGACCTCCATTTTGTCATCAGAAGCAACATATTAAAATTTGTAAAGCATTATTTGATTAGTTCATGACTGATTGCACGAAAACAACATAGAGTGCCATTTTCTGATCTATCAAAGACCATAACTCATGAACGATAAATGTGAAAATTATCAATTTTGAACATGAACACCATTGTGTCATCAGTAACAACATATCAAAATTTGAAAAGCATTGATGGAAAGCTTCATAAGGTAATGCAAGGAAACAACATAAAGTGCCATTTTCTAATAAATCAAGGATCATAACTCCTGAACAGTAAAAGTGAAAAATTTCAGTATCGAGCTTGACCTCCATTTTGTCATTAGTAACAACATATTAAAATTTGAAAACCATTGGTTGAAAGGTTCTTAAGTTATTGCAAAGAAACTGTTGGCAGCCACTATTTTTATAACCAGCTTTTTCATTCAGAAAAACCCAATTTTAAACAAGCATTCTAAGAGTATTGCATGGCAATACATAGTCCCCTACCGATTAAAATTTCATTGTACCTGAACAATATGCTAACTTGATCTATAACTTGTCATGGTGTAAACTATATGACAAATATCAAGTCAATATCTTCAAGCATGACGAAAACAAGTGGAAAACTTATTATTTAAGTGAATTTTCTAAGTCCAAGGACCATAGCTCTGCACAAAATCTTCAGACTGGAACAAAATTCGAACTTGATCTGTAACTTGTCATGATAAAACTATATACCAATTATCAAAAAGTTATCTTCAAGCATGACGAAAAAAGGTGTGGAAAACTGATTTGCCGGACTGACGGATGGACATACAAACAGAGAGACAGACAGACGGAGTGCAAACCTAAAGTCCCCTACCGACTAAAAATGTGTATAGATGTTTTGAGGAATGCTGTTACCAGGTAAATGCAATAACACAAAAATCATTCAAAATGTGTAATTTTAATCAATATGGTGTAATAACATAGTTTTTTAATATTTCATAAAAGATACATCAATAAATAACATACATATAATATTTTTTTAACATATTAACTAACAATCAATATTTATAATCTTTGTAACAATAACATACAAATATTTGAGGTGGTTATACAACTTAATTACATTTTACACAATGCTAATAGATCTCACATGCATAAGGTAGTATGGGAATATAAAAAAACAAGATATGAGCTGTCAAATTGACCGCTAACCAGGTTTTCAGTATTTTGAAGGTGCTTTCAGGAGTGTTTCACCTGCCGCTTTCTGTGCCTATTTTCAATATATTAAGGAATATAACTCCTGAACAGGAAAATTGAAAATTGTGAATTTCAAATTTCACCTCCATTTCGTCATCAGAAACAACATATTAAAATTTGAAAAGTATTGATTGAATAGTTCATAAGCAATTGCCCGGAATCGACATAAAGTTCTATTTTTCAATATATATAGGACCATTTCTACTTCATAGTAAAAGTGGAAATCTTCAATATTGAAATTGACCTCAATTTTGTCATCAGTAACAACATATTAAAATTTAAAAAGTATTGGTGGAATGGTTCATAAGTTATTGCACAGAAACAACATAAAGTTCCATTTTCTAATATATCAAGGACCTCCATTGTATCATCAGTAACAACATATTAAAATTTGAAAACCATTGATTGAACCATTCATAAGTTATTGCATGGAAACTGTTGGCATCTGAACGCACACTGCCCACACACCAGTTGTACTTTACCATTTTGATAACAAAATTTTTGTTTTGGTAAAACCCGTTAAAAATGTAGGAGTATAAACAAAAAATGTAGTTTACATCATGCTATTTTCAAAAACTAAAAAAGATAAACTGTTATCACAGAGATATGTCTCGCCTTTTTGTAATTTTGATAATGCAAATGTTGAAATTAAAATAGCAATACTTTTAACATGTAAGTTATGCAAATATTCAAAGTCGATGAACCATGACTGAAGGTACATGTACATGGCTAAACAATCTCCATGGAATGAGATGTGCCAATGCTAATACAACTGCATACCAAATACCATTGACTTATTATAAGTCGTTCCCTTTAAACAAACCTAAACACAAACAATAACTTGTAAACTATGTAAAAGTTTCAAAGTCAATGAACCATGATCAGGGGTGGGGCTATATAATCTCCATGATAACGATACTTTCAAATGCCAATAAATTTGCATACCAAATATCATTGACTTAACATAAGCAGTTCATCTTAAACTGATCTAATCACAAACTAATACATGTAAACTAAGCAAAAGTTTCAAAGTAAATAGACCATGACTGAGGGGGCAGGGCCAAATATTCTCCATGGAAATGAGATGTGCTAATGCTTATACAGCTGAACACCAATTAACATTGGCCTACCATTAATGGTTCCCCTTGAACTGACCTAATCACAAACTAATACATGTTAACGTAGCAAAGTTTTTAAAGTCTATAGACCATGACTAAGGGGGCGCAGCCAAATAATCTCCATGGAAATGAGATATGCCAATGCTTATACAACTGCATACCAAATATCATTGACCTACCACTAGTGGTTCCCCATAAATTGACCTAATCACAAACTAATACATGTAAACTATGAAAAGTTTCAAAGTCAATAGACCTTGACTGAGGGGGAGGGGCCAAATAATCTCCATGGTAATGAGATGTGCCAATGCTAATACAACTGCATACCAAATATCATTGACCTTAGTGACCTACCACTAGTGGTTCACCATGAACTAGACCTAATCACAAACTAATACATTGTTGACGCCGCCGGAAACAGCATACCTATGTCTCGCTTTTTGACTCCGTCAAGGCGAGACAAAAATGTTTTTACACTACAGGTTGGGCATTTTTTTAATATATTTGGCTTAGATACAACAGGAGAAAAGAAAATATAACTTACCCAAAAAATATGTATAAGATATTTTTCAATAAAATACAAAAAGGTTGTCCTTATAACATACTTTCATAAAATTTAAAAAATGGTATATCCATCTCATTGTCTTACTATGTAATAAAATAAATGAATTTACAGTACAACTATTTTAAATCTTAGCTAAGTTATTTCCCCAAATTAAATCATTAATTCTTCGAATAAAATCAATAGATTTTCTGTATTTTTATTTAAAGATATCAACAAAGGATAAAGTAATATAAAAGTCTTTGGTTTAATGACAAAAACATGTTATTTCTTTATAAACTTTGCACATTTTAGTTAAAATCTATATCAATCATAACAGTTTTCAATTTCATTTTTTTGGCATGAGAACAAGTCTTAGAAAAATAACTTTAACTATAGGATTCAGCAGTACATATCACAAAGTGTGAACGTACTGAAAAAAAAGGACAGTATGCCTTCTTACTTTCAAAGCTGAAAAAAAAACACAAAAAATTTGAGTTTTGATTGAATGCAGTACAATTTTATTTTAAAAATCTGATCTAAATGCAAATAAATACAGAAGCTTATTTTGGATCTATCAAACATAAATTTCCATTCATTATAAAAGTGTTTTTTATTTTAAATTAAAATAAAGTATAGTTGGAACATTCTATACTACATTTTAAAACACATGGAAGATTGTTAAAAAAAGGAAGCATTGAAATAATTTTGGCATCCTTTGGTTATTTTTCTACATAAAGTTATTCACATTTGCACCAGTCCTTCGCAAGCTGCTAAACTAAAAAGGAAATTTTCTGTGGCTGGAGTCATCTTTCTTTCTCTTAATACTTCTATTGTTATATATTGTTTACTGTCTTCCCCTGTCACTGATAAGGATTTTAAGTTGTTAATTAATTCTCTGGTTTTGGAAGCTATTTCCTGAAATGGAAAATAGAAAATCTGGAAATACACACTTTTATTTGGAATAAATCAGAAAAATATTGCCTACCATATTTATCCTCTGGCAATTGGAAATAATAGCTATCACTGAAATGTGTTATAATATTGAGGTTAAGCGAAACATAAAACCATCAACTTTAATATTTCTACATGTTGTGGCAAAGTTTATGCTAACAAGGGGAAGTAATAAGGGTATCCATCAATCGTTATACCCTGTCACTTGCTTGCATTCAATTTGCATTCAGAAGTTTATACTACTGGTTTTTGATGTCAAGTTTTGTTAATTGTGTTAATATACTGTTCATTCAATTCTTTAAATATTTAATTTTATTTTTCTGAGCAAATATTCATAAAAGATATATGTATGATGTACAATTTTCATTTCTGGCATTCCTGGACTCATTTTTCTTTTGTCTCATAAATCATTGCTCCATATCCTTTCTGATGTTATATGTTCTTACATTAACCAATTATGTCTGTTTGGGTAGCTCAATATAATGGAACAATAAACAACTGGCATACAATTGGGAGGTTTAGCTAGCTATAAAACTAGGTTTAACCCACCAAATTTCTTCTGAAAATGCCTGTACCAAGTCAGAAATATGATAGTTATTTTCCATTCTTTCCATTGGTTGATATAGTCAAGCATTTGAATTTGTCAGGTTTTATGAACTTCCCCTTTTTGAATTTACATTACCTTGGAATTTCGGTATTTTTTGTTAATACTTTTTTACTATATATGTCATTGCTACTGTAAGAATAAGAATGAAATATCCTTTAGACTACACATACTAAGCTATAAATAGCAACCTGAAACTGTAAAAACTGAACAAATATAGTATTGCATTTAAAAAAGTAGGCTATCCTGACTTAATTTTGCTTGCAGTATTCCCATGTATATTTTAGTACATCTCGTACTGTGGATTTATTATTATTGATAGGCTTGAATGTAGACTGTGTAAACTACAATTTCAAGTATTTTTATAAGCAACTTTAAGAGAATCCATGAAGATTGTTACCAATGAAAACAAATGAATCTACATTATAATCTTTTAACACAGGTTTCTACTTTCAGACTGGAAATTTTTGGAATACTTTTTCTTTCCACAACTCACCTTAATTAGCTGTTCATCTGTTACATCTTCTTTTTCAGCACACTGTACCATAAACATAGCTGTATCTTTGTGTAGTTTTCCCATTGCAAATGATTCTATAAAATTCAAATTGACAAGTGCAGACACACTGATCAGACACTTAGTAACCTTCACTTGTCATTCAATATAAAATAAGGAGATGTGGTATGATTGTCAATGGTATGGCAGAACTTAAATTGTCCCAAATTTCAAAATAATAAAAACATCTAAAAATTCCAGAAAATTAATAGCATTTCATCTACCACATTAAAGGATAAAAAAATAAATAAAAAAGGAAAATTGTTTGTTGTAACAAAGATAATATACTGCTGGTTAAAATTTCAGACCAGTTGAACAGTTTGATTTGATGAAACAAATTGCAATTTAATCAGAATTTTCATTGAACTGCAATAGGTGGACAGCAACACTTACAACCATGTCACTAGTCATTACAAATCAAGTGCTATTTAAAACATGTCAGGTACTGAAACCCAAAATGATCAAATCCAATTGGAAAAATTCTGGGGTAATGTCACCTAAATTTTTACTTCAGTACATTGTACTCACCTAATTTATTACTTCAATACATTGTACTGTGACAGTACTTTTATCATGGGTATCAATTTTAGTGGTTTGAGCAAAAGTTGCATGTTTGTGGGTTCTTAAATTCGTTGATTTTAGTTTTTTTGAAAAAAAAATCGAACGATGTATTTGACATGTTTGAAGCCATCAGAAACAAAGATTCTTGAAAATAAACATATGTTGTTATATAATGATGTGAGGGACATTGCAAAATAAGGTGCTCATTTTCATAAATTAATATGTTCGTCAAATGTATTTATAAAATAATTGCTTTCAGAAACAAGCTGATCCATCTATGCTAACAAATTGTCTCCATTGAGGGAAATTGTTGCACACAAGTAATCAGAAGCGATGACACTAGTTAATCCGAGATTGAATGATTAACGGATTAACAATCACCAAAGGTGTTTATTGGGCCATAAACTTGTCACTTAAAGAAAACAGTTACATAAAAAATTCTACAAATGTACTTTGAATTGTATAATTAATTATTATGAAATACAAAAGCCAGCCCAATATGTTATCATTGTTTTTTTTTTCGTATGAGAATTATGAGGAGATAACATGAACACTTCATCATTGCATATCATCACACGAAGTATAATAGAAAAACAAAGGATATGGGGTATCCATCCATGACACAAAATTAGTACATGCACAACAAAAAAACACACAAAAAGCAAAGGAACAGTGCTTTTATTGCTGTTCTTCATCTCATCTATGTCTTTCATCAATCAAAATTATTTTTTCATAAAATTTAAAAGTTTAGAAGTTGTACAATTTAGGTTTATTAAGATTAAATGGATAAAATCTGTCTGAGGTTGTATATATAGTTCATGGTGCATTTTTTTATATTCGATGTATTCTCTAGATTAAATGCCAGTATCCATGTAGTCAAACCTACATTGGAATCTTTCCATGTCTTGATTTGGATAACAGTTGTTATATTTCGTTGGACACTTAAATTCGTAGATAAAGTCATCCACGAAAACCACGAAAATTGGTACCCCATGAATAAAAGTACTTTCACAGTATGTCAGTAGCTCCGTATGAAATTTAAATTGAGTGAAAAGTTTTAATACTTTTATGGTTTGTGATGTAAATAAAGTTTTTAGGACATGTATACCTTTGGCATGAGTGGCTGTAGTTATCTGACTGGTCGAAGGATTAACAAATATATCATATAAATCTGTCCTGAAAGCAAATAAATGAAATGTTAAAAACTTGATTTCAGATGGGAGCTTCATAATTATTCCTTAAGAAAGAAAGGTTTATTCAACCTCCAATTTATATGGTCTTTGAAATAGTTCAATTTGAATACATATCAAAGAAATTATCACTTCTATGGGAGTTAGGGGTACATCAATGAGACAGTAACCTAACAACACAAAAATAAACTGCTTCGCTGAGCGCAGCTGGATACGCCCGCAGAGGTCCAACCCTGAACAGTTGGGGCAAAAATGGACACAATATTCCAGCTTGATACAGGTCTGAATTTTGATTGTAATTAAATATTTGACATATTATAGGTTTCTGAATAAATGTAGTCAAAGAACTTGAAATTGGTTATATGAATTGAATTTATATTCAATTAAATATTTCTTGCTGTTGTGCAATACACTGTGCTGTTGCGCAATACTTAGTAAATCTGTTGTCAGACTATAAACAAATAAAGTTCAATTAATTCTCAATGTCATATTAGAAATTTATGAAAATGTAAAGGGAGCTTACATCAATAGATATAAACAATTCACCAAAGTTTCATGAGAATTTCTGACAGCATTTTTGAGTTATTGTCCGAAAACTGGAAAATCCCTCCTTTTTTAATGAATAAAACCTCATAACTCAGAAATGATAAATAAAAAATTTATAAAATTCTAAAGGGAGCTTACATCAATAGATATAAAACAATTCACCAAAGTTTCATTAGAACTGCTGAAGTTATTGTCAGAAAACTGGAAAATCCCCCCTTTTTTAATAAATAAAAACCCATAACTCAGAAATGATAAATGAAAAATTTATAAAATTCTAAACGGAGCTTACATCAATAGATATAAACAAGTCACCAAAGTTTCATAAGACCTGCTGAAAGCATTTTTGATTTTTTGTCCGAAAACTGGAAAATCCCCCTTTTTTTATGAATAAAACCCTGTAACTCGGAAATTTATAATCTAAATTATATAAAAATCGAAAGGGAGCTCATGTCAATAAATATAAACAATTCACCACAATTTCTTGCTAGTTGGTGAAAGCATTCTTGAGTTATTGTCCGAAAACTGGAAAATCCCCCTTTTTTTAATGAATAAAACCCCATAACTCGGAAACGTAAGATCTAAAATTTATAAAAAACGAAAGGGAGCTCACGTCAATAGATATAAACAATTCACCAAAGTTTTATGGAAATTGGTTAAAGTGTTTTTGAGTTAATGTCCGACATGTTGACGACAGACGGACGGACAGACGGATGGACAGACGGACGGACAGACAACGGTATACCATAATATGTCCCGTAAACAGGCGTATAAAAATCAAAAAACCTACAGGCAAAAATATCTTAATAAACCACAGATAAGTGTCTATAGAATAAGTTAAGCCTTATAAATTGCTCTTAATCTTGAAAAGAACTAAAAATAAATTTCATTGAGACTATAAAAATGACACCAATTATAAACTCTTACAAAAAAAGCATTCAGTTTTTACTAGAAACAACCCCTGACGAGGATACTGACTGAACATAAACACAGCAGAGTAAAACAAGTTTTTTTTTCTTTATACTATTAATCTTGATTTGTAAGAAAAAAACGAATAGTAAATAAAAATCCTGCTTTGCTATACTCTTTATTGACTCCAGGTTTAATGTTGCTTCACCAGCATATATATCTAAAATAATTATTAATCAAACATAGTTGTTAATTTACCTTCCTTCTATAGAAGCATCTGTAAAACCTGCTACAAAACTATTTTTCTGGGATAAATCTTCCAATTCCGTAGAATCAAGCTCTACATAAGGATATGCTATATCCCAGTTCTGTCTATGCCATACAAAGGCAGGCAATGACCTGAAATAATTTAAAAAAAAATATACATGTACTGCTTTTAACAATGATTTGATTTAATGTTACTATTCAAATTGAAAAAGATGGAATATGCTAGGTGTACATCTGCTGCAGAAAATACCAAAGCAAAAATCTTACAATCCAGACAAGATGAACAAACTAGAGATGCAATGGAGCCTAAACAGTCATGTGGATATATTTTGCCCAAAAAGCAAATATAAGCTTTTCATCAGAACCAAAGTAATAACATATGGTATGTGTATACCTTCTGAAGAACATTTCTACATGTTTAGTTTTCATTTATTTTTTCATCAGTTCTTTAACATAAATGAAAACATTGTTTCAACTTGATGTCTGATAGTTACCCTTTTTGAGTTTTTGAAAGTAGTAACACTTGTTACAGACCTTTTCAGAAATTGGAAAAGCCATGGAGGCTTTTTTGTTGACAAAGCAGTGGTAGTGCTCCAAATCAAAAGAAACAACTCTTTTATATGTAACCCTAATTATAAAAATAAGAAGATGTGGTATGATTGCCAATGAGACAACATTCCACAAGAGACCAAATGACACAGAAATTAACAACTATAAGTCACCGTACAATGAGTAAAACCCATACTGCATAGTCAACTAAAAAAGGCCCCGAAAGCCTTTTCTGTTCTCAATGCTAATACATCTGCAACCCAAATATCATTTATACACAACACTATTAGTGGTTCCCCATAAACTGACCCAATCACTAAGTAATACATGTAACCTAATAGAATGGTATGAGATGACAGAAAATTTTCAGAATATAACCAACCCTTCATACCTGACTGAATAACAATAAGTACAATTTTGAAGAAACAGGCCATTCTTGACTTCACAATGATATACTGTATATATATAGACACTATGTCTATTGTTGAAATCAGATGAATTTTGGGGTTTTTTTGTATCGTTTGGTTGCTGTCTCATTGATGAATACCCTATATCTCCTTTTATTAATGTAATTCCTGGTGAAAGATTACCTAATAAACTGTAATAAATCTTCTAACTGGTTCTGAGGGTAATAGACTGCTATTCTTTTCTTTAATAATAATGCTGTGTATATGAGTATTGTTTCTAATCCAAATGTGGTTACTATGTCTGTAAATCAGAAAATTTGTTATCAATATGTGATTACTCAAAAATTAAATATATCATAAATACAAAAAATAAAATCAACTAAAAAAAAAACACCAACCATAAGTCAGAAAAAAATATTTAATAAAATAAATACATATTGATATTTTTTTCAGACTTTACTAGATGTAAAAAGATAAAATCATGTCTGTGTCAGCCATATCAATCACTCAGAAAATTACTTCTTCAAAAAATATGTAGCTACTTGATAAAAAGGTAGCACTGCATCTTACGATATTAAAGATGTAAGCTCTATAGCTTATCAATGAAACCCTTGTAGCAATTGTCAAGAGCAGAAATAGATACATATGTTATTTACTACTTTTTTCTATATTGTCCCATATACATCCAACCAATATCCTGTTTTTTCTCATTGATAATTCATTTATGCATGCATATAATTTTGGTCATTGATTCAATAATACCATATAGTCATGATTGATATTACCTGGTGTGTAGGTGCATGTACAAGGTGCACTATCAGTACCGTAGTTCTATGTTAAACAAATTTAATAAAAAATGCATACAAAAAAATAAAATCTACATTACAAAACTTATCCTACACTGAAATTGTATAATAAATTTTCAAATGACACAAAACCAATTTCATCTTAATCATTGCATAGGTATAATTTATTCAATAAAAAAACAGTGTTTTTTAAATATTTCTTTAACATTAACCTGTGGTCTTTTCTTCTATCTCTGATTTTCATGCTTTAAACTTACATGTATCTGCTTTATAGAACATTTCTATTGACATGTTATTGATCTACAAAATATTTCTACTTAAAATTTATTGCTTTTTCAAAACTCCTTTGTTAATTAAGGCACGCTGATCTTAAATATTATTCAATTGCAAGATCGTCCTGTTAAAAATGTAAATATAAATGTACTTTGAAAACGAATATATGCACTGTACCTTTTATTTTTGAATTGATAAAAGCTCTTTTAACATCAAAATCTCTAACAGAAAATCGACCATTTTCATCAGTTGCACATGATCCTCTTGTTAAAACATGTAAGTATAGCTCTAACATGGATGCTGGATTTCCTGTTTTTCTGTATTTCATGCATAAAATCTTACAGAGTACTTCATATTTTTCAGGATTGAAGTCTTTTGTTACCAGGACTAGTGAAAAATGAGTAACCTGAAAATATGAAAAATTACAACTTTTAGTGTACAAGGAGCAAGTACCGCTCAGTTGCAAACTTGGCATATATTTATTATATTGATAATTTTTAAAAAAGAGCATTGAGCTATCAGTTAAACGATAATTTAAACTATGTAAATTTCAAATTAAATTCCAATTAAATCAAAGTTTACCAGAAAATCTTGAAACAGTTATTGATCAATTGATTACTTGCTGCTGAACATGCATCATCATCATCATTGTTTGACAGTCACAAGTTGGAGTTATTGCATGTAATTTATAATGCAAATTTCGCAGTTTTTGGTTATTATCTTGAAAACTACAACAGATTGAGAGAAATTTTAAAAAGTAAGAATAACGGGAACAGTAAGATCTACAAATAAGTCAACATGGACAAATTGTCAATTGATATAAAAATAAGAAGATGCGGTATGATTGCCAATGAGACATCTCTCCACAAGAGACCAAATGACATAGAAGTTAACAATTATAAGTCATCGTACGGCCTTCAACAAGGAACAAAAACCCATTATAAGAGTATATTTATTCATTTCACTTGAAATCGCAAACTTTCTTCAATAGGTAATAGTGTAAATTAATAAATTTTTACACGCATTACTTTGGCAATTCTTGAACAATGGACAAAACAATGGATTAATTATTGTGATTTCATGAAATGGTGCAAACAAATAATGGTATAAATTTCAAAATATGAGTTTTGGTTATAATGAAACCTATCTCATTTCAAGTTTCAAATCAATGACTTTATAATATTTGCATTATTTAAAAAAAAAACAGCAGTGATATAGATATATTTTGTATCATAAAAATATGATGAAATAAGGATATAATTCATTCATGCAACACATTTTAATGGTTTTATAATGTATATGTGGTATATGTGTACTACAAACTCTTGATAAATGATCCTCCTCTGTTACTTGATATGTCTTTATGTAATACCAATTTCTTCTCCATTGACTATATATGAAAGGAATTATTCCATCTGTGGACATGGTCAACTGACTCTTCTGAAGAAAAAAGTTTCTTTCTTCTTCTGAAACATTTGGATATGACCAGGTCCATAAAACATCTCCATTTGTGTCTCGTTCTTAAAAAAAAAGTAATGTAGAAAGAAGTAACAACACAAACCAGCCTTATTTAAAGGCAGTGTCTGCGCGACCCCGCATGCTGGGACGAGTAGCCAAATTTGCCTTTGTAGGCTACTCATCCCCGCATCCGTTTTATAATAAAATGTCATCAGTTCTGGAATGAAACGAGAATATACACAGAAATTATCAGTAATTTGTGGATTTTGTGAATTCAGTGAAGAGAATGGCAACTAATATTTTTAAATTTGTATTTATTAGTTAAAAATTAATAAACATTGCAAATTATATTCACACTAAAGGAATAAAACTGTACAATCCCTGTAAAGAAAACATGATAAAAATTAGAAATTAAATGTAAATGCACATTAAAAGAATAAAATTAAAAACCAATTGTTCAGAGAACAATTGAAGGGTTTCCACATCAATTTTCTAAATTAATGATGAGAAGCTACTGCCGGTTTCCTCAAAGTTACTATTGGCGTCCAAGCATAGGTTTCTTCATACTGATTCAATAAATAAATGTTTCTATATATTTTTGCCTGTAATAAGGGAGATAATTGTCAACTTCCAGTCTCACATGATAGCTTTATTTACACTGATTCCAAAAATATATGGTTTCTATATACTTTTGCCTGTAATAAGGGAGATATTAGGTACTTCTGGTTTAGTGAAGGTCACTTCTGGCCTCAAAAGATAGGTTGATGTAAGCATATTTAAAAAATATATAGTTTCTATGTACGTTTCCATGAAATAAGTGCAAAAATGGCTACTTCCGGTTTACTCAAGGTCACTTCCGGTTGACATTTTTCAAGGTCATATGTCAATCAACATTTAGCAAAAGACCCTATGGCTTTATCATGTACCAAGTTGAACAAATAATCAATTAACCTAAAATTTATTCTTTTCAGGGACAATAGCTCCTATAAGAAGTCATTGGATTGTTTCAGACCAAGTGTATCATATCTTCATCACAATGAGGCAAACATTTTGCACTAGTTCTTTTAAATATATCTCCAAGATTGTCAGACGAGATCTCAGAACAATGAAAAGTCAAAACTTAGAATTTGACCTTGACCTTTGACCTTGACCTCAAATTTATTTTAATGAACCCAGGACCTAAAATACACGTACCTTAGGTCTGTATTACTTACCATTCATGTGATACATTGACATATCACTTATGTCAAATTCAAAAGGGGAAATAACTGTCATATGTAGTCTACAAATTGATTCGGTTAAAATTTAACAAATCATCCTGAGGATATAAGGAGCAATTTAGTAAAATAAATTTGTCGCTTTCTTTTACGGTTACGGAGGAGATCTCACCACAAAGAATACAGTGTTTGGGGAGATAACTCTTACAATAAAAAGTCTTGGACTAAACAGGGTCAGTCTCAAAAGCGCAATAACTGTTCGATATCATATGCAAAAAATCTAAGCAACATCTTGCGAAACCACAAAACAAGTTTTGAAATTTGGCGGAAGAAGAAAAAAAATGATCAGAACAAATACAATAGGTCTTTCCACAAAATAGTGGAAAGACCTAATTATACTGAATTTGAAAAAAGCTATGTGAAAACTTGAGTGTGAAAATAATTTTCTAGTAAAATGCAAAACAGAAACCAAAAATTTAAAATATCTACTTTTTTCTAAAGCCAGGCACCTGATTCAGAGTTTCTTATATACAATTGAATGTAGTTATTTGATTGGTATTTTTGAACAAATTGTTCCAATTCATTATAACTTTTAAATGTCTTCCCCACATATATATCACATTCTTCCATTTTAAGACTATTTATTAACCATGTTAACTCAGAGAAAAACTTCACTTACTATAAAAATATTTATAAAACTTCTGAGTAGTTATCAATTTATTCACTAATTGCGATAATTTCCCCGTATATTTGATGTTTCATTCCCAATCCGTTCACATTTTATTATAAACCGGAAGCAGGTACATGTAGCCTACGAATGCCAATTTGGCTACTTGTCCACGCATGCAGGGTCGCACAGACACTGCCTTCTTTAAAACAAGATAGATGAACTAAAAATTTCATCATAAAGTGTGTCATCTATGTATTATCTAATATAACAAAGTCTAAATTGAAAACAACGTTCAAACCTATGATTGCGTTGGATAAAAACCGCAATTTTTATATGTGTGCATGCAAAACAAATTTCTTGGTAGAGGGGTCTAAATACAGCACAAACAACATTTTCCAAAAGACCAAATGAGTGAAAAAGTATATTTTAACAAAACGCATTTGACTAGCAGGTCGAACAACTGATGTTCTTAAAACCTTATCTAATATAACATACACATATCTTTGAATATGCAGTAATGAAATCAATTGTGACACCTTGCTAAGTAATTAACCCAGTAAACAATGATCACTTGAAATTTCTATACTACAGTCATTACAGTTAAGTTCAATAAATTTGTTCCTCTAGATCTGGGGCCAAAAATAAATTTTAAATTGTTTGATGTTGCCTAGCTACCCACCTAAAAGCATGAAGAAGCAGCCTACCCAAAAAATTTTATGACACAAATCGTTTCAAATTTTTTTATGCAAAGATTTTTTCCTGCTCTTAGGTCGTTTTGTCTAAAACTTGTAACTTATGTTGTTGGCCAAAAAAAAATCAAATCCCTATATCCCTACCAAACCCTACAAGGCATGGGTAGACAACATCAAACAAGGAAATTGTAAGGGTGGCCTGGTAAGTCTGTGTATTTAGAAGCAAACATGTCAAATGAATGGACTTATATAATGAACATAAATGCTAGCTAGCGTCATATTTTATTCTTTATGTACATGAAAATGAAATGGTAATGATGAAATGTAATAATAAGAAGATACATGTATGGTATGATTGTCAATGAGACAACTCTCCTCCAGATGTAGAAAGTAAGCAACTATAGGTCACTGCACGGCCTTCAATAATGAGCAGACCCATACCACATAGCAAGCTATAATAGGCCTCGAAATGACAAATGTCAAACAATTCAACCGAGAAACCAAATGGCATGATTTATGTACAAAATCAAAATCATGATTATTGGACTTTTGCTCATTTCGTTGAACAGTAACTTCATATGAGTATTAAAAGTGATAATCAAACTTCATGTGACTCGCTCCAAGAAAGATTTAAGTAACATTTTACCAATTAGGCCAGCTGATTTACTGGAAATGAAATTCATGGGCGCAGACATTTTGTTTATCACGTGACATTCCCTTCTCTAGTTTCGGAGTTATTATTCCTATGTTTTTCAACTATAGGAAGTAAATCAGTAGAAATATGCATTTATTCCCAAATTAATATAATTCATTATGAAGTTTTTAAATTGCGCAAAGTATGATATAAAAAAGCTGTTTTCTTTTTCTGGCTCCCATACTTTGCGGACTCGAATAAAACAATAACGGAGAAGAATTGTATAAATATACGTATTCATGTGATGTCGTCTCCGACGTCCGCGTTATCGGTAAGTTTTCTGCTACGTCCGCGTGATCAACATAATTATTATGGCGAATGCATTAAAAAAAAGCACAACTGCCGCATTGGTATTCTCATCAGTTATCACTTCATACAAAATGGGACGTGTTAAGAGTAAGGGAATCTATGTTGACCATGAGTTGTTCGATGGTATGTCTATATTATTTTCGGGGGAGGCTGCATCGATCCCGTCATCATCCCGTGACGTTCTTGCTTTGGAAAACTGAGGGTCTTAAACGTTTTCATATATTTGTTTTCTGACTTTCTAATAATGGTTTATTTTGAATGATTTTTTACTTTTCTGTTTTCCCGAATTTCACCCTCAATATATAACTGCTTGCCGCTGAATGAATGGTCGGATGATGGGTAAAAGAATTGAGTAGAATTTAGTTGAAAATGTTGTTAGCATTAGCAAGATTTACATGTTTTGTTCCAACTAAATATTATCTGTATATGAGGAATTTTAACCATTATGGTTGGTTAAGTAAAGAGGTGTTGACTATAAGACAGATTTTTTCTGTTGTACGACATGTTTGAGCCTACTGACATATGATTTACCAAGTTATAACTTTTCCAACAAGGTACTGTTCATTTCACTGTAACAATGTAACACAAACCACTATATTTGTCGTTTTCGTCGTTTTTCCTTTTTTTGCAATGGCGTTGTCAATTCACCGTCTTTGACTTATGACTAATGAGTTCAAATATCCTGCCTTTGGTATCTTCCGCTTCTCTCTTGTCAATTATCGGTTGAATGATGTTTTTACAATCAGGATATCAAATTCCTGGCCTACTTATACATGCATGTTGGCATATATATTTTATTTGACAAACTCGCTTTGCATATATATGTATGCAATTTTACACAAATAATGTTTTCCCTGGTTACAATGGTTTGTTTATGTACACTTTTATGTACTTTGTTGACTTTTCGCTTCATATGTTGGATGTTGTAATGTTTATATTCATTGAAAACTCTCATCTTGAAGGAATGGACTCTGGTATGGGGAAGTTTCTTGAGACTTGGTTTTGTAAAAAGATAAAGACTGGATTTAAGATATTTATCTCGGAAGCATCTGCGAATGAGTTCATTTTTTCAGTTGTTCAGTATATGTGTTACTTTGTTAAATGGTTGGAAATGATCTTTATCAGATAGATGATTTTGATAACTACTGACGTTGAGAATTGTCTTGCTCTTTTATGATGACATCATGATGAATATAATATCTTAGATTGATGAGGTTTGTTTTTCTCAATCTGTAGTTTTAAGTTTGGTGTTTTGTTTACCTTTTTTTTGTCATGGCGTAAGTGTTATGGCCGCTTTGGTTTCTTCTATATTTTTTGACCTCATTGTTGTTTGTTGAATTCTTATGACAAATATTTGATCGTTTCTAAGTGAACTAATTTCTCGTGAAACATGTCACATTCCTCTTTTTATTCCATATGTTAAAAACTGTATGATAATTTTATATGAGGAACTGATTTATGACTGCTTTAGGCCTGACTAAATTGAAGTTTTCTGACTTTTATTTGTACCAAGTGTTTTGTCGGATCTCCACTGTAAATATAAAAATAAGAAGACGTGGTGTAATTGCTATTGAGATAACTATCTATCAGAGACCAAATGACATAGATGTAAGCAAATATAGGTCACCATACGGTCTTTAACAATGAGCATAATGTATAGTGAGCTATAAAAGGTCCCGAAATGACAAAATTTAACTTGACAATTCAAACGAAAAAACAATCAAAAAACAAATATGATAGACAGCGACCAACGATGACCACTGAATTATAAATCTGAATTTGGGACAAGCACATATGTAAAGGCTCTTTTGTTCCGACGTTGGAAAGTTCCGGGCGGAAAGAACTAACTAGCCGAAAAGTTCCGGAGGAACTTATTGACTAGTTACTTTGTTCTTCCTCTGGTTTAAAAGTTCCACCGGAACAAAGTGACTAGTTGAAAAGTTCCAACGGAACATATCAACTAGTTAGAAAGTTCCTTTTTGCCAAATTAGTCAAAACCGGAACTAACAAACTAGCCCAAAAGTTCCAACGGAACTTATCAACCAGGCAGAAAGTTCCATTTGGAAAATTGATGCAAAGAACCACATGATGAGGGGTATTCTTCCCTCTCTTGAGGGTACTATGAATACTAAATTTGCATGATAATGCAACTTATTCCGTTTTATGTGAGCTATGAAATACAACTTAAATTTTGCATATTTGTCCAAAGAAACCCCTTTCAGTGCGTTGGGTATTCTTGTAAATTAATGATTTGCTCTTATATATACTGATACTCATTCTTCCCCCTCTTTCTACAAAAAGGACGAAATATGGTATATTCGGAACGATGTAATTATAGTTGTTCTGTTCCGCCAGAACTATTCAACTAGCTACATTGTTCCGGGACTTTTCAACTAGCTACTTTTTTCCGGAACTTTTCGACTGCACTCGGAATAAAACAACTAGTTGGAAAGTTCCATCGGAACGAAATAACTAGTTGAAAAGTTCCGCCGGAACAAAGTAACTAACGGAACATAGTGGCTGTTACACATATACATGTGGCGGGGCTAGCAATGTTAGCAAGCGCTCACTGAATCCTCTCCGAACCTTGGACAGTGGTGTAACAGTTAAAGAGGTTTGACTGGTCACATCGATATGAAACACACACACACACACACACACACAAACACACACACAAATAACTAGCAAAAAGACTATAGACATAAAGTACCGATCTAAGAGTACTCGCATGCAGTTACTGAAAGCTAGTTCAAAGTCAATTTCAAATATTGAATTTGCTTGAGTGGTAATGATTGGTGGAGTTGTCATAACTATAAGTGGTTTTGATGGATAGTATTGATTTTAAAATGCTGCTGCCGGATACTGATATGATTGGGTTGACTCCAAGGATGATAACGACTAATGTGTTGAAAAAACTGCAAGGTACAATGTATTTGGCTGGTATATAAAAGGTTGATTAGTTGACCCAAATTGACGAGAGATCTGGGACTGGTAAAGGATTGGTCAGGTGATTGTACCAATGAATGGGACTGTTGTAAATGATGATTATATGGTATATGACTGTTTTCTACCGCTAGCTGCGATAGACATTGGTTCATTTCAAGGGGTTGTTGTAGCTGAGTTGCTACCTGTGTTGTTTATGCTGTATTGATACATATGTGTTGCGTCAACTTTATTTTCAAAAGTTTTAATATAACTAATTATATACAATATTTAAACTTGTTAACTTTTTGAAGCTATATGAAATTAAATAAATTTGTGACAACTTAAGATAGCCGCACGGCATTGACCACCGAAGAAAACCCATACCGTAGCTATAGAGTAAGTCATAAAAGGCTCCCGGCATGACAAAATGTGAAACAATCCAAAAGAGAAAACAAACGGCTTATTTATGCTAAAAACTAATTACAAAAAATGAATATTGAAGACAGCAGTAGACGAGAACCACTGAATAGTTGGTTCCTGACTTGGAACAGGCACATAAATAATGAGACTGGTTTCCACATGTTAGCGAACACTCAACCCTACCAAAAACCTGACAGGGGCGTAGCTACCCGGAAGCATGACAGCACGTGCATCCACGTCGTTTTCACCAACAACAGAGATAGAGAGAGGGGGGGGGGGGGGTGGGGGGGAGGACAAAGTTAACTTCTAGGAATTAGTATTTCTATGCATGAATTTTAAAAACTACACAAAAAAACTTAATTTTCCGCTTCGCCCCGGCCAAAACACACATCTTACTAGAACGAAGATTCTTCAACTCGTATCGATCCGGGAATAATGACTGTTAACTTGTGAACTAGTTCAAAATTTACCAAGTATGTAGGTCTTGACAACACGAATACTTCATTTTCACAACACGTCAACATATTCCCGTCCTAGTGTGCATGTAATATTTGCTACTGGACATTAATAACCATTCGATCAATCAATAGTTTCCGTAAACTAATACATGAGAAGTTGGAACTGCTGTTATTACAAAGAAAGTACACATTTTCCAGTACATGTATTACGTTTTTATTTATTTTTCAAAAAACATCTTGAATATAGATTATATAATTCGAAGTCGTTTCTATATGGGCAGGCTATACGAATAGTTGATTGTAAAAGCATTTAAATAAATTGTTTATTCTAACTCGTTTTACTGGACTATTTGGTCATTCAATTTTATAATAAATTGTCTGTCCGAGTCTAACACTAAACTGCTGATTCTTAATCGAAAGAAACACCAAACTTTTAATACACGTATCTTCACTGTTATCATCTAGATATTGCCATACAACTAGTCCAATGCACATGTATTTGTTAATTAACTGGATAATTAACAAACGCAGATCATGAAAAGATCGTGATCAAAGTACCATTCCCTCTGAAAAATTTCATTAATTTCAACTTCGAGAATTCCTAACTGCGTAAAATTAGAACTTCCTATCTCTGGGTCTCTCTTGTAGAGTTTACCCATATAATTTTTAAACATCTAAATACATGTGTTCAGCAAAATATTGGAGAATGTGTCCACCAAGTATTTGGTATCCAAAGATGTGTATTCTAACAGAAACTCCACATATAGTATTGTTTTTATGTTTATTGTTTGGTTTTTATACATCTACTTTGCTCAATACAAATACTAGCATATGGAACAATCTCCGTGATCTTAAAAGCTCTCACGGCGTATAAAAAACGCAAACGACAATGTT